ATGAAGTAAAAAAATTGAAGAACTTCAATCTATCCTATATACACATACGTATTTCAAAGATGATAGATCGACCAATCAATAAAAATATATCAATGCGTGTATGTGTGTATATGCATGTTATTCTACAGCAAAGAAAAAAAAAATTGTTTTTTTTTTTTCTGAACATAAAAGCAGAAATCTCCACACCTTTTTGGGCGTAGTATCGATAGCTGTAGGAGTATAAGGCTAGCAGAAGTAGCAGCACTGCTGGTAATATATTGAGAGGTAGATAGCAGTAGTAGTAGAGGATACAGACCTTAGACTCAGCTTCTTCAAGTTGTTTCTTTCGTGCAATAATTTCTTCAATTGCCAACGGCTCACGTTTCTTCACGTTGTTATTCATTGTAATAATGTTTCCGAAAACAGTCCCGAAACACTGCAAAAAGCTTTCAATATATATGTATATGTAACCAAAAACACAACATTCAGCAGTACCAACGATAATAAAAACCCAAACAAACTTCTGTTGTCTTCATCATCTGTTGATGAAAAAATTACCAAAAAAAAGAAACTTGAATTTATGTATAAATAAATAGATCCTTGTTGATTCCAATCGAGCACAACTAATGTATACATAAATATATACATATATTGGGTTTTCGGTGCAAAAACAACACAGGAGTAAAGGGATAGACACAGAGAAAGCGTTAAAACGTCTCCGCTTGATGCTCCCCGTTTTTCTCCCCTTCCCCTTCCCCTTCCCGTCCCCCTTTTCCTTCGCTCGCTTCTCCCCCTCCCCCCCGTCCTCCCCTCTACCCCCCATTTCTCCTCCCCAACAACACATACGACCACAGGCAAACCAACCGCTATTGATCAACGCTCTTGTCTGCTCACGTGATGTCTAACACTGCAACCATTCCCTATGCTCTTTCGTCGCTGCGTTGCTGTTATCTCCGCAGTTAAAATAATTTTTTAGCGCCGAATTTGAAAAAAGTTTTTTTTTTTTTTTTCCTAATATATTTCTCAGTCATTAATTCATTTTTCTGCTTGTTGTTCATTCTGTACTGGAAGCAGTGACGAAATAAAATTTGAAGTTATAATACTGTTGAACAGTAAGTAAGTTAGTTAGTTAGTTAGTAAGTAAGTAAGTAAGTAAATAAAGAAACAATTATAAAAAAAAATAAGCAAATGATCAAACGCATAAGCAGTTGAATATTTGCGATTGATGAACTTTCTCTTTTCCATCTTTGATTCTTCTG